CAGACGCAGGGACAGAGGCTGCACAGCACCGCAGCCACCACCAGGACCAGGGCAAACATAGGGTCAGCTCTGCGGCCACCAGGACCAGAGTACCTGGTTTTCACCTTGGTATGTACAGAGGGCCAAAAGATAAAGCATTGGTAATACTGCGCCCCCCTACCCCGAGACAGTCAAGTAGCCTACAAGATGTCCATTCCTCCCTGGTGACCCTGAGCCTCAACCCACCCCAACCCAGGATGGCAAAGGGGTTTATACATCATTACTGACAAGCTTGGAGCACCCACCCTCAGCTGCATTTTGTACACACCCTTATTGAGACAGCATTCTCACTCCACACAATTCATCCTTTAAAAGTGTGTGATTCGGTGGATTTTAGTATATTCACAAAACTGTGCAACCAACACCATCCATTTCAGAACATTTTCGTCACCCTCAAAAGAAACCCATGCCCGTTAGCAGCCACTGTCCACATCTCCCTCCCGCAGCCCCTCACAGCCACCCATGTACTTTCCCTCCCCATGGATTTTGCTTTCTGGACATTTCATACAAACAAGAGCAGGTGATATGTGACCTTCCATGTCTGGTTTCTTTCACTGAGCGTGTTTTCACGGTTCATCCATGTGATAGCACGTTTCAGCCCTTCCTTCATCCCTATGCTGAATCACATCCCATCTCATGGGGGACCACATTTTCTTTCTCCATCCCTTGGTTGATGGTTATTTGGGTTCTCACCCCTTTTTGGGTACTGAGTGTGGGGGTCTGTGGGCCATGGAGGGGAGGGGAGGGGGTGGTGTCTGAGACAGGGGGAATGGCGTACGCGGACGCCATGCGGCCGAGATGAGCTTGCGCGATTTGAAGAACCTCAGCAAGGAGGCAGGATGTTCAGGGGTGGCTGTGGTGCTGTCATGAACGTTCGGGTGCAAGCCTCTTTGTGGATGTCAGTCTCATTCTTCCAGTCCAGCCTTCCTCTTAAGCCTTTTCACAGCAGATTTTCTGTTCAGCTCGCCGGGAGCTGTACTTTAGAAGAAGATCGCTTCCATTGTGAAAATACCTACGGAAAGACAGGACTCCTGCCTAACACAATTCCATCTGGCCCGTCCTGCTTCTGACACGTCTATTCCACAAAATAAAACAGGCTCCACCAATGACACGGAGTGCATGATTTTCCTGTGCAAGCGAAGTGAATGCACCGACCTCATGGGTCCCAGGAACCTCTTGGAAATGGGAGTTTATGTCCCTCTCAGAGATGAACAAAAGGGCTCAAGCCCAGAATATCCTGTTTCCCGTCACTCTGAAACAGCTGCAGCTCAAGACATTGGACACAAGGCAGATTTCTGCGAAGCACATTCTATTTTCCCACTAGCACAAAAATATCAAACCTGATACACAAGCCCACGAGGAACAGAGGTAAAAATAAATTGAAGGACGGTTTGCAGGCAGAGGTGCATGGCCCGGTGGCATTCTGGTCTTGTCAACGCCACCTCTGAAGGTCAAGGGCTCAGTACCAGCTACCCTGCTTCCGCCCGGGGCTCTTTCTGCGAGGTGGGTGGCAGGGGCAGGGAGAGCACTGGCCTGGGAGTCCCACGACAGCACCCGAACCCCCTCAGTTGCCAAGGAGCTGCCTCATGCTACCTTCCATGGGCCACTGACTCCCACACTCACTGGATGCCTGCCCTCCTCCCTCAGCCCTCCGCAGCCTCCCTTGGGGAATCATCCCTGACTCTCCTGCCCTCACATGGCGCATTTCTGAGGGCCCTGGACAGCTCCTGTTCTCCCTCCCCACTCCCTTCCAAGGAGGCCTGTTTATGCCCTCTTGTTCATCCCTCACCCAGGACCCCTAAGCACAGGGCCCGCCTCCCCATGCTCCTCCCACTCGGGAGTTCCATGGAAGCCTCTAGCAGGACTCGCCACACTCCAGGCCTGCCCCTTCCCAGGGAAGGCAGGAAGGAAGGCGGGCCTCCATCCTAGTCTCGGAGCCTGGACTTCGCCTTCTCACCCCACTTCTGTCCATCACCCCACTTCTGTCCACTTCTCAACCAGCTCCACTTTCCCCATCTTCCTCTTGCCCCTGGGCCAGGGCCACAGCCACACCTGAACACTCTGCCTCCTCACTGGGGTTCTTCAAATGCCCAGGCTCATCTCCGCAGCGGGGCCTCTGCACACTCCCCCGCCCCACTCTGCATACGCCACCCCTCCTTCACTGCCTGAGCAGCACTCCCTCCTCCAGGCAGCACCCCATCACAGCTGCCAGTACCCCGGCACCCAGTCTCACCCTGTCCCACAAAGCAATGTGCAAAGCTTTGAAAGGCTCTCCTCTGTCAGACCTCAAGGTCTATGAGGTCAGGAGCTGCAACCAGCTCGTCTGTGGCTCTCCCCAGCACCAGCAACTTGCTCCCTGGCACCAGAGCTCTGTAAGGATGTGGTGAATCAACGGTCTGCTTCACTAGGCACTACTGTGGGCCAGGATAAAGACTGTGGAGAAGTCTAGTTTGCAGCTCAGTGATAACTTAAGAGTTTGAATTGTCCATGTGTTCTCATTGTTCAACACCCTCCTATGAGTGAGAAAGGCAGCAAATCACACTGCACGGGTGTACCTATGCAACAATCTTGCATGTTCTTCACATGTACCCCAAAACCTAAAATGCAGTAAAATAAATAAATGGAAAAAAAAAAAAGAATTTGAATTGTCATTCAATGTCAGTTTGAGATAATGACTTCGTGGTTTCTGCACGTAAACACTGTAGAAATAAGTCTAATGATGAAGATGGCTGTGATGGATATTTTTATGTAATATGGATATGAGCCTTTTTTGCAGGTGACAAACAGGACGAATGAGGCCTCTGCCTTAAGGGCCTTACATTCTAATGAGACTCCAAGAGACACATGGACGCCCACAGTTTTGGGCTGTGATGGTTGTTAGGAGGGAAAGTAAAGCTGGCTCCAGTGGAGAAAGCAGACGAACACACCTGCACAGGTGATCAAGGCCGATCCAATCGCAAAGGTGCGCACGTGGGTGTGCCCCAATACACGACGAAATGGCACTTTACCTCTGCAGCCTTTCTCCCCAGAGCGATAACCCCCATCGAATCACGAAGAAAGCATCAGACAAACCCCAACAGAGGGACAGTCTACAAACTCTCTCAGCTACACGCCTCACAACTGTCCAGGTCATCAGAAATAAGGGAAGTCTGAGAAACTGTCAGAGCCCAGAGAAGCCTCAGGACTGAATGCAATGTGGTGTCCTGGGAGGAACCCTGAGACTGCCAAAGGAGAGCAGGCGACACCCAGGAGACCTGAGTAAAGCACCTGCCTTAGCAACAAGGTATCTGTACCGGGGCAGGGCCTTTGTTAGTAACAATGTATCTGTGTCTGTGTTAGTAACAATGTATTTGTGTTTATATTAGTAACGATGTATCTGTGTTGATTCAGGGCCTTACTTAGTTGGTAACAATGTATGTGCCTTGATGCAAGAATTGTAACAACCACCACTGGTGTAAGCCTAACTATTAGGAAAAGGAGTGTGGGGCACATGGAGCGCCCCATGATCTTTCCAGGTTTTCTGTAGATCAAAACTTTCTAAAAGAAAATAATAAGATGGCCAGGCACAGTGGCTCACATCTGTAATCCCAGAACTCTGAGAGACTGAAGCAGGTAGATCACTTGAGCCAAGGAGTTCAAGACCAGCTTGGGCAACGTAGAGAGACCTCCATGTCTACAACAACATTAATTAGTGGGGCATGGCGGTGTGCCCATAGTCTGAGCTCCTCAGGAAGCGGAAGCAGGAGGATCGCTTAAGCCCGGGAGGTAGAGGATGCAGTGAGCTGTGATTGCACCACTGCACTCCAGCCTGGGTGAAAAGAGCGAGACCCTGTTTGGGGAGCCTCTGGGATGAGGCGGCATCTGAGCAGAGACAGGAAGGGGTGAGGGCGAGCTGCACGGACATCTGAGGGAAGAGTGCTGGAGGCAGAGGGACAGCCATGAGAAGCCCTGCCAGTGAGCTGGGCACAGGGGACTGATAGTGTCAGGAGGGGAGAAGGGGGAGAGGCCGACCCTGGACTCTTCCCCAGGATGGGAGGGGGGGAGGTAATGAAACGGCTAGGGTCAGGGTGATCTCAGACACTAGTGGGCATAGGATGCTGGACATGGAGCCCATGGAGGGGCACGGCAGCAGGTCTGGCAAGGCCTGGGAAGGGGCGGGCACCATCCGTCAGAGGATGGGAATTAGAAGAGGAGAGATGGAGGAAGTAAGCGCCCTCCACGGATGCTGCCAAGGCCAGGAATGGTGGAGGCAAGGGGTGCCGAGGAAGACACTGCCCCTGAGGTTGGGGGTATCTAGGCTGAAGGGAGTGGGTCAGTGCTCAGAGGTTTTACAACCCTGTCCTTTGAGCAAAGGGGCATGAGGTGAAAGTCACAGGTACAGCCCTGTGCCTGCAGGGCTGGGGAAGGAAGAGAGGGGAAGGTCTGGAAGCAGCACTGAGGAAGTGGGGGCAACACCTGCTTACCCCTAAGACCCTGACTCCCACAAGGCAGGGAGGAGGAGGACACCTGCCCGCTCCCCAGGCCCTGACGCCCATGGAGTATGGAGTGGGGGGACACCTGCCTGCTCCCCAGGCCCTGACACCCATGGAGCGTGGAGTGGGGGGACACCTGCCTGCTCCCCAGGCCCTGACGCCCATGGAGCGTGGAGTGGGGGGACACCTGCCAGCTCCCCAGGCCCTGACACCCATGGGGCAAGGCAGAGACCCCCTCAGCCATCCTGACCATGTCACCTTTCTCTAGGCCTTGGTGACACAGCCACAAACCACGGATTTGGCAGAATGGCAAAGTAAACCTGCCCCTACC